TGGTGATGCTGTTCTCTGAGCTTGTGTGCGTGTGTGTGTGTTGTATCGCATCATCTTGGGTTTTCCCCTGAAGTTAGAAAAATCATAACTTCAGAGAATGTTGCAAATTTATAGTGGTTGTTGACATTTAACATTATTTCAGTTACTGAATAGTAGTGAGAATTCCCATTGGTACAGCTGTAACGCCAGAAGAGGGAGTGTTGATGCCTTCATACTTTGTTAAATAATCAGATGCAGCCTTCTCTGTTACAATTTACCTATGATGGCAACTATTTTTGTAAACATTTAATATATTTCAGAATGGAGTCTTAAAAGGTCTTTTGTGGGGAGAGAGCCTTCTCATATGTGACAAAGAACTTGGGGCAGTGACCTGCTCTGAGTGTTAAGTTACTAGAGCAGGGCATCACAGATTGGCCCCAACAGACATTTCATTTAAGTTGATTAAATTGTTTATGTGAGTTAAGAGTGCATGTCTGATAGGTTTCCAGGCTAGTCGGTAAACCCACACTTCTGCCAGGAACCTTTCCCAGACCTACTGTTCTCCCATGCTGTTTGTCCTGTGAGTCAGAATCCAGATCTTTGTCCTCGGGGTCAAAATCCAGAGGACAGGATGAAGGCAGGAGTCTGCTGCTGCTCTGTGGTCCTGCACTTAACTTTTCACTCCTAATACCTCATAGCCTTCCCCTACTCCCCCAGTATTTATTCACAGGTGTCAAAGGAGAACTGAACATGTTAATGCATGTTGAGCTGAGCCTACATGTTAATGCATAGAATGTATTCCATGTTCCCAGTGGCTTCTGCACTTTTAAGTGAGAATACCATTTCTATTAATACAGGTGGATCTGAGGATGGAAGACATTGGCCTCCAAAAAGACTATATACCATTAGTTGTCTGTAGTGGCTACCAGGAAGAAGGCGGCTTCAGTATATGTGGTTGTCTTTATGTCAAGGACTACCTGTGTTTTTTTACCAAAGATATTTTGGCTGTAGATCAATTTATAATTTCACGCATCTAATTGATACAATGGGATACTATGGAAGGAATGCATCTCATGTGGCTAACAACAGACTAGAAAATTAGGACTGACACTGAAACTTCTTTGCTTGAAGTACATGTATTTGTGGTACAGTTTTGAAATATGTAATTTTGGCTTTCTCGTAGTAAATCTATGCCAAAAGTTGTAATCAAAGTTAGTAATTATGCAGCTTCCAAAAAGGACTTCATAAGAAAGAACAAAATTAGAGGAAATTAAGCTACTGGGAATGTCTTTATAGAAAAGGACATTAAGGCAATCTATGCCTCCACAATTGGTAAAAGCTCTTTGAGGATTCCACATATTGTTTTGGATTTAGCCAAATACATGCAGCATGTACGAATAGAAGTAATTGTCACACTGATCACACCGATTATTTTATGCTTTTACACTTCGAAAAATGGGTTTCATTTGCCCTAACTTTTGTAATTGTTTAAAGTTTATTTCAGATTGAGTTCTAAAGTTGCTTTTAAATGTATTAGATTGTGGTTAGTATATTTTTCATAAGAGATGACTAGAAAATTAACTGTAGTAATGGTCTGTGCTCGTGCTTTAACTCCCAGCATTTTGCTAACTGAGAAAGGGGTAAATTTGAGGGGTAATGGTCAGAGTATCAAGCTCATATTAGGGGCATCCTATCACCAAGGGCTTCTCATATTGAAGATACATTAAAACCACATGCCTGAGACCTGGACACACACAGTCTATAATTCAGCTCTTTAAAAATGCTGTGTAGCTGCCTGCCTAGTCCTAGTCTGGAGAATGCACTCCTCTGTTTATGGTGACTCTTAAAAATGTAGATGGAGCAGTGGGAGAGGTGACATGAATTCACACTGACTTAAAAGCTATCCCAAAAGCAAAACTGAACTGGTGTATTTTCTGGCATTAAACAAAATAATAATAATGTGGTTTTATTAAGGTACTTGGATTCCCAATTTGAAGGTCTCTGGGCTGGGCCAGACAAGTGGCAGTGGATTTCTTCTGGCCAAGAAACCATTTCCCCACATGCCTCCCTCCCGCTTCATAGTGATGCACCTCCTTTCACCAAAAAGGCTTACAGCTACCTAATGTTATTACACCTGCTTCAATTATACTTTCAAAGGAGTGTTCAGATCTAGCCAACTTGCTGCGGAGGAACTTAGCTGTGTAATGTGAAAGCAGTCTAATTTCCAGTAACTTCCTACTAGGGTCTTTCAGACTAAATCTCTTGCTGGTATTTTCAGATAGTGGTGCATTTTGTACATTCCAGGTGAATTCAGCTTAATTTTCTTCTCTGTTTGCCTCCTGTATCTTTCTTGATGGTAGATAGCTATGCCAAGTGGTGTGGCATCCATCAATATATATTTAAAAATTAGGGTGGGAGGTGAAAAAGGGGCTAAGAACCTTTGCTTAAGGATCAGGTTTAGTCTCTTTTTATGGGTAATTGGTGTGGGGTTCCAGAAAGAGGGTCTAGCATGGGAATATGAGGGGGACTGTATTCCTCCTCTCCAATTCCACAATTAGTGCTTTTTTCTGGTTTGACGACTGCCTATGCCTACAGTTAGACACAACCCCCGAGTGGAACATTTTTGAATAGAGGTTATTACACTAACCTTACAGAGCGCAAAGGATTGTGTCTTCCAGCTGTTACTTCTCAAACTAAACGGAATGAACTTTCCACTACTAAGGAACCCTGAATCTGAGCAGTTCAGGGTGAATTAATACTGCTCCCTTTTAATACCACAAATATTTTTAACGAACTGGAAATGGGGGGTGGGTGCATAGACAAAAGGCAAAGTTATAGGCAAGATTATAATGAATTCATGTACTATTAACTGTATAAATACACAAGTCAAATTCTTTAAACAGCACCATTTCCAAGTGTATACACAATAGAATTATAAGTTGGCACAGTTTTTAAAGGTGAAAATTGCTAGTTGCTAGTTCATTAATAAAAGATCCTGGTACACAAAAGGATAGAGAGCTTCTACCTGCTACAGATTGTGCAATTTTACACCTCCAGTTAGGACAGAAACAAGCCACAAGGAGGAACTACCCATCCAGATTAATACTGGAAAGTATTTACTAAATCTTCACTTTTCAAAACGGTGATGCTACCAGGGGCTTGCCTCACTTGGAATTAGAATAACTTTTTAGGACAACTAAAATACTAGTTCTTTCAAACAATAAAAGTCATTTTACCGACATTCCATAAAATCACCAGTTTTAGATGGAGGCTTTTAAAAAAATATTCTAGACCTAGTAAAGTGCCTCCATTCATAAAATTAAACACCGAAGATTAAGATTGAGACCATTTCATACTGATGCACATCTAAAACAGGCCGATGTACAGTAAACAGCTCCTCTAAATTGTATTTCAGTTAATGCGATAATACACATCCAGCCTTCATCGTTTGGATGTGCACAAACTAGGAACGCGAGAGAAACAAGATTCTAGCGTGTAGTCTCAACTGATCTTCAACAGGAAAGTACTCCGTACGGCCGACTTGCTTCGGAAAAACGAAGACGACGACTCAAGTTGAGCCAACTGCTGAGGCGGTGCCAACTCCTCAGAGGGAGTGTTGATGCCTTCATACTTTGTTAAATAATCAGATGCAGCCTTCTCTGTTACAATTTACCTATGATGGCAACTATTTTTGTGAAAGCAGTCTAATTTCCAGTAACTGGAGCCAACTCCACGCCTCCTCGACAGCGGCGGAAAGATAGTGCGAAGACCACGAGAGAGTGGCCAGGCGGTGGCCCTGGTGGCCATAGACCGGCGCCGAGGCTCTCAGCGCAGCTTCTTGCCGGGCAGGCCGTCTCTGGCGCTGCGCGGCGGCGGGCGGGCGGCGGGCGGCGGTGGCACTTTGGAGAGCGGGCAGTACTTGATGGTGTGCGCGTTGTCGCCGCTGGCGCCGCACAGGGGACACGTGTAGCGGCGCAGCACGGGGCACAGTACTCGCCCGTCGGGTCCCTTCAGGATGTGGGTGGTGTAGAGCGCTACCGCCTCCCTGTTATTCCGGCAGAACACGCACACCGGCAGGTCGGGCTTGAGCAGTCGGGTGGTGGCCGCCCCGGAGGCGGCGTGCAGCCGGGGCCCCGCCACCCACGCCGGGGCCCGCTCTTCGCGCTGCGCCACCTCGGCGGTGGCAGCGGGCGCGCAGCCCAGCAGCACGGCTGCAGCGCGCCCAGCGAACGGGCTCAGCTCGGCGAAGCGCTCCTCCAGCAGCCCGGCCTCGGCGGGGCCAGCGCACAGCTCTAGCGCGCGCAGCTCCAGCGCGCCCCCCAGGTAGCGGCCTCGGGACCCCGGCTCGTCGCTGTCGTCGTCGTCGTCGTCATAGTCGGGCGGCCCCAGCGCCGGCCCCAGCGCCCCGGGCCCAGCACCCCCGTGGGGGGAGCAGCAGGACGAGGAGGGGGAGGAGGGCGGGGAGCCACCGCTTCCGCCGCCGTCCCCGCTGCGGGCGCAGTCGAAGCGCGGCTCGCTGTCCACTGCCTTAGTGATGAGCGTCGCGAGCCCCAGGTAGTCGTTCCACGAGCTGAAGGGCTGAGGGTGCGCCGGGCCCTGGGCGCTCACGTAGCGGGCACTGGGCACGAGCGCCATGGGCGCGGGGGCGCGGCCGCGGCGGGACGAGCGGGGCGCCCACGGGAAAGCCTCCATGGGCGGGCCGCGGGCCGCGAGCACCGCCTCTCCGCCGCCGGCGCGGGCCAGACGGGAGGTACACGCCGAGCCTGCCCGCCGGCCTGCCGCGGGGTGGGGCCGCCTCGCCGCCTTTTATTGGGCCCGCCCCCGCCGGCCTCGCCGCCGCGGTCCTGCCCCGTGCGTCCCCCCGCCCCGGCCACCTCGCCCGCGCCCTGGACGGAGGCAGAGCGGAGGCGGGCGCGCCGGGGGCGGGCGGGCAGTGCGCGCGCTCCGCTCCGGCCCACGCGGCTCCGTGCCCGCCGCGCTGCGCCAGCCTTGCCAGCTGTGGAGCGGCTTGCTTTCTGGGAGGGGAAGGCGAGGCACCGCCTCAGGTCCCGGCGCTAATTGGCTGCCTACCAGAGGCCCCTGCGCCATGGACGCCGCTCCGGACGCTGATTGGTGAATCTGGAGGAGGGGGTGTGCCCTGCCCAAGCAGCTGGGAAGGGCGGGGAGGGGAAAGTAGAAGAGAGGGGGTAAGGGCGGGGTGGTTTTCTGAACCCGCCGGAGCCTCCCTGAGCGCGCGCTGTGTCCCGGGTTTGGAACAGGTGACCAGGCCTGGGTATCCCTTGACCTGGTAGTGAAATTCGTGAAGGACAGGAGTAGGCAAAGTGATGGAGGAATGTCCCAAGGTTCACGCACCCCCCCACCCAACCTTTAATGCCCCGGGCCAACCTTCTGAGAAGCCCCTTCTCTCCTTCCTCTTCACCAGCATCAGCAAGAAAAGCTGTGGGGAGACAGGGCTTGGCGCAATCTAAGGTTGTAGTTTTCAAGTCAGAGCTGCCCTACAATCAAGTCACTTCGTTCTCATAAGTGCTCTGGAGAGCTTTCAGCTGGGTGAAATCTTCGCACAAACCTCTGCGGTTCAGGGGTTATGGTTCTTGCCACGTAAGTAGTGGAGGGACGCGGGATTTTCCGCAGCACGCAGCAGCTTTCCAACAGGTGTTCAGAGACTAGGTGGCCATTAGCTGGTGACTCAGATAGGAATGGGGCCCGGGCGAGAAAATCTTCAGTTCCAGGACTGTGATTGGTGTGTGAGGGTGTGTCCGTGAAGCTTCTTAGCTTCCAGCGGGCCATATAAAAATCTGGGCTGTATGTGCAGTTTGAAAAACAAAGCATATTCACCACAATTTAATGCTTTGAAATGCATAAAATATTTTGTAAAAACAATGGGAAATAAATCAGGTTTTGATTAGGAGGGTACAAGGTAGTCATGCCCTTCCTTGGAAAAGGGGCAACACTTTAAAAAAAGGAAAGAAGGAAAGGTTTTAGGTCCTGGGAGGGGTTCCTTTAGGGGTCTGTGGGACCTGGAAAATGCCACCTCTGGTGGCTCGACTGGCAGGCAAGGTGGGCTTCATAGGGCAGAGTAGGGCTTTCCTTGCCCTCTGTGGACATGCTGTGGCTGTTGCAACAAGGAGACAAGGTGGTTGGTGCTGGCAGCCCTCATTAGGCGGGAGGCTATGCTCTTGCAGGTTTAGAATGGCCCAACTGGGGCTACCTAGAACCTAGTGCTGGCATTAGTTAACATTAGAATGAATGAGTGAACCAGATGTCGGCAGTGGAAAGGACCTTTGAGATCATTCAACCCAATCTTAATTTCAGATGAAAATAATGAGACTCAGAGAAGAGAAAGAAGGACTCCTTTAAGCTCACATGGTGAATATGTCATAGCCAGACCCAGGGCTCAAGCACCTTCATGACTGGCTTGGTGATCTTACTACATGGACCCTGAAGGTATTTCAGACCAAGTCTCCACATACATCAGCAGAAATCAAGTGTACAACATGTGGGAAGCTGGAAAAGAAGTGAGGTTTGGCTTGAGCCCCTGCCCTCAGAAAGCATCTCAGGGAGGGAGCAGGTGGCAGGCACAGGGAAGGCCTCGGAGCAGTACGTGATGCCTGTGTGGGCCTCCTGTCCTCCCGAGGAGTTGGAAATACGTATTTCAGTCTCTTCCTCACCTCCTGCTCCCTAATGGTTGATTTAAGTCCTGAAACCAGATCGTATTATTTTACCCTGGCCAACCCAATTACTTTTTCAGGTTTATGTTGGCACTCAAGTTAAAAAGTCATTCCTTTATTTCCTCCCCAATCTTCCCCCAAAATAAATAAAAGAGCCCGAGTGGCCTGGGGCTCCCGCAGAAGTGTGGCAGGTTTGCTGACACTGACCTCTGAGCTCTTACCACAAGAACGCTGGCCCCCAGAGTGGTATGAAGATGATTATTCTATAAATGGAAAATTCCGCTCTGTTCAGGCAGCCCTGCAGCCTGCATACTTTCAAGGTATGTAGACTTCTCAAGCTCTGAGGAGTGGGAGCCCCAGTTCTGAGAAAAACTTTTGCAAGGGAAGTTTAAAACTACCAGCTGCTGTGTCTGATCCCCCTTGGTCAGGCCAAAGAGGGGATGGCAAGTAAGTTAGGCCTCCTTTCTTCTCCCACATGGTTTTTTTAGCCCTTGTGGTTTTACCAGGGGGAATAAAAACTTAAGCGAATGTCAAGAAGAACAAATGTCTTGATTTTGAGTTGCAGGCTATGTGGGTGGGTTGCAACAAATGGCAAGGAGCTGCCCTGGAAAGATGTGGAAGGGAGCTCATGTGTCCTGGGAGTCTAACTGTGTGCTGTTTCCCCAGGCTGCTCACCTTGATTGCGATCAGCCTTGCCCACAGTAGGTGTTTGATTCAGAAAGAATGACTGTAAGTGGAGGCAAAGTGCATGAAGGCTTTTGTTTCCTGGCATATGCTGGCCTTAATACACTGGGGACCTTTGCTGTTAGTGACCAAAGAAGGGCCAGGGTGGGTGCCTGATCCAGCTCTGGGTTAAATAAACAGTTAGTTTTGTCACTAAGCACAGGCCTCCGGCTGGCCATGAGCTCTCCAGCAATTTTTGAGGTGGCAGAACTGACGTCAGAGATGTTTTCAGCACCTTAATGAAGTCTGGTAGCCTTTTTTTCCCCTTTCCGGAAGCTTGGAATGAAACGAATAGCCTAAGTATGAAAGTTTCTTCAAGGGATTACCTTCAAATTGGTGGAGACAGGAAGACAGGTCAGGACAGGCCTCATCTCAGAGGTTAGAGGGTGTTCAGTTTCTTCTGAAATGGGGCCTGCGTGGCACAGACAGAAGGCTCTGGCAGAGCTGGGGTGGGTGGTGGGGAGGGCTGTTGGGGCTCTGCATTCCCATTTCTCTGAATGGCTCCAGCTCCCAGGCGTCTTGAGGCTCTTCAGAAACATGAGGTCAGCCCTGGGGAATGAGGCAGCTTGGCAGGCGTCCAGGCAGCTACAGAGATGCTGTTTGTCAGGCTCTGGGTTCCTGCTGCCTTGCCTGCCAAACTCGGGCAGGAAGTGCTGGGCCTTGGAAGTGGGTGAGGTGCTTTTGGGCATGTCAGGGCTCTCTGCTCTAACGGCATTGACTTTGTCCATATTATGCCTCCGGCCAAGGTCAGAGACTGGGGATGGGGCTCCTGCCCTTTGGGAGCTTTGAGTCAGTTGGCTGTAGGTGGTTGAGAAGCCACGTGCCGAATGGCTCGAGCTTGCCGAGTTTTAATCCAAGCCCTTCTGCAGTCGCGTCTGGCCTTCCACGAGGGACTTAGCCACTCGGGGCCCCCAGCTCCTTCCTCTCTCTGGCAGGAGTCTCACCGTGAAAAGCCACATCTCCCTTCTTGCTTGCTTACTCTCATTCTGGAGGAGTCTATCCTTCGTCCTCGGGCTGAGCTGTGCTAGGTATAAACCAGCAAAAACCTCCCATTTCCGCCAAACAAGATTTGGGTAGGAGAGTTCTGGTGACCCAGTTCTGGTCCCTGAAAAATAAGGAGGACTCGGGGAAGGTGGTTGCTCCCTTGTTTAAGAGGCAAAAAAAAAAAAAAA